CTATTCTATTTTTCCTTTATCAAACCTTTTATGATTTAAAAACTCATAAGTGAATATTAGAAGAGATCAACTAGCCATAAAAATTCATGGATACACCATCTCCTGGCCAAAAACTTTGAAGTGTCCTTGGGAGGGAGGCAGACCAAATTCCTGCTGTGCCTAAGGCCTGGCAGCCGCAATGACACACTGACAGCTGCTACTGTGCCAATGACCCAATTCCACTGCCTCACAGCTGAGCTCTGCAGAGATGTCAAACTGCCCAAAATTTCAGGTGCACAGGTCTTTTGGGTGAGAATTCCGGTGTCTTCTCGAAGTGGGGTTTAGCAGCCTCCCCCTAATCCCTGTATTTCCAGAAGCCTCAGCAGCCATACCTACATCCCACAATTGTCACCAAGTAAACTCACTGCCAGTTAAATATTCTGGAGTCTCTGAAGTGCATACAACCAGGGCACCTGCAAACTCTACAATACTGACATACCATTAGGAGCACACCAAATTAGATGGGAAAGTAAAGTAGGAGCCTCTAAAGTTCAATAAGCAAAACCATTAACACAGAAGGCTCAACCTGCGACAATAGCTTGGTAAACCCTCAGGCAAGGACTTAATGTCCCCATGATGAGTTATAATGCATTGTCACAAATTTTCTTGCACCAAAGTATTTTTTAATAATTCCATTAGACATTAAGTTGTAACAAGCAATAGAAAATAAATTATTTTGTGCCTGCTAAGGGGGCAGGCTTGGAGGCAGTGATTTGGAAAATGGGGACAATGGTGGAGGAAAGGTCACAGTGGTGCTGGGATTGGTGTTGGAATACTGAATGCTTATAAAAATGCATCATGAACAACTTTGTAAGCCATGGTGTTTAAATAAAAGGGAAAAGAAATGTCACATAAAAGGCATCAGTCCACAGGAAAAACATATGTCTGATATTTAAACATGTGGACTATACCAGTAAAATCTTTGGAACTGCATATGTTGCTTATACCCCAAAATCACAATCTTCACATTTATGCCATCATTGTTTTAGAGCAGCAGTTCTCAAAGTGGACAATACTGCCCCCTGGGGGGCACTGGGAATATCCACAGGGGCATAATAACCCAGGGTCCCATGTACAGGTAGCTTTCTGGTTTTGCTTAAAGGGGCTGCTGAGTGATTTCTTTTTCCTTTTTTTGATTCTTGATGACTTACCATTTATTTTTTATCTAAAATGTTCTTTTTTATTCATTTTATTTTCTTCTTTTATTTTTTTAATTGAATCACCATAGCACAGCGGGAGGGCGTTTGCTTTGCACGCAGCCAACATGGCTGACCCGAGTTCGATTCCTCCGACCCTCTCGGAGAGCCCGACATGCTACCGAGAGTATCTCGCCTGCACGGCAGAGCCTGGCAAGCTCCCCCTGACGTATTCGATATGCCAAACACAGTAACAACAAAGTCTCCAATGGAGACGTTACTGGGCCCGCTCAAGAAAATCGAATCACCATAAGATAGTTACAAAGCTTTCATGATTGAGTTTCAGTCATATAATGATCAAACACCCATCCCTCCACCAGTGTAACTTTCCCACCACCAATGTTCCCAGTATCCCTCCCAGCACCACCACTTCACCCGACTACTTGCCTCTATGGCAGGCAGTTTCCTTCTTACTCTCTCTTTCTACTTTGGGGCATTATGGTTTACAATACACATACTGAGAGGTTTATGTTTGATCGTATATCTACTTCTGGTCTTATGTCTACTTTCGGCACACATCTCCCATCCCGAATGATCCCTCCAATCATCACTGACTTAGTGGTCCCTTCTCTGTCCTAGCTGCCTTCTCCCCAAGCACTTGAGGCAGGATTCCAACCATGAACCAATCCTCCTGGCTCTTGTCTCTACTGTCCTTGGGTGTTAGTCTCATACTATGTTATTTTATATTCCATAAAATGAGTGCAGTCATTGGGCTGGAGCGATAGCACAACGGTAGGGCGTTTGCCTTGCACGCAGCCAACATGGCCGACCCGAGTTCGATTCCTACGCTCTCTCGGAGAGCCCAGCAAGCCGAAGTACCGAGAGTACTTCGCCCACACGGCAAAGCCTGGCAAGCTATCCATGACATATTCGATATGCCAAACACAGTAACAACAAGTCTCATGATGGAGACGTTACTGGGCCCGCTTGAGCAAATCGATGAACAATGGGAGGACAGTGAGTGCAGTCATTATATGTCTGTTCCTCTCTTTCTGACTCATTTCTGAAAGGAGGTGGTAGGCCGAACAAAGATGGGAAGCTCCAGTTTAGAAAGTGAATCTTGTTTCTATCATCAGGGAGTTGGAAAGAAAAAATGAAAACTACTTTTCTGTACCAGTTATCTCCGCCTTATTTGTAGTTAATTCTTTTCTTTTCTTTGGAAAACAAACTTTGGTTTTCGGGTCATACCCCACGGTGCTCAGGGCTTACTCCTGGCTCTGCACTCCTGGATGACTCTTGGCGGTGCTCAGTGGACGTTACAGGATGCTTGGAGTTGAACCCAGGTCCGGCGTGTGCCAGGCAAACGCCCTACCTGCTGTACTACTGCACTGGTCCCATATTTAATTATCTTCTGTTTTAATCTGGTAGAACAGTCAGCTCTTTGAGGACATAATTTTGAGTCTCATAATTTTGAGTCTCCCTTGGCATTTGAGTACATACATATTGACTACTTTGGTTAGCTATGGGAGGCAACATACAGATAAGAATAAAAGGATTTCTTTCCAAGTGATTTAAATACATATATTACAATCTAAAAATCTTTCTTATCATGCTAATGCAGTAGTTATACAACAAGATTTTTTTCTTTTTCAAAGTCAGCAGCAATAGAAAATGAGAGGTTCTTACACTGTTGATTACAGCACATCAGTTGCCATGGCAACATTCAGTAGCCAAACATTCTTTCTAATTGAGACAGTTTCTCTGAGCTGCTCAGCTCAGTCCCTTAAGACTGACCCAATTATAAAACTCAATATTCAAAACCCTGAGGATGTCTCTCAATATATTCTGATTATCCACTCTAAGGAAAAAATTATACACAATTTTTCCAAGTTGCAAGGAAACTTTTCAAGCATTTTGTTTTATAGTAGCGGTCTTATGCATGGATTCATAACTGTCTAACTTAAAGCTTTAAGTTACAAAGCTTTATAATGTATATGATATACTTCATGACCACATCATAGAAGCCTAAACTTTTAATTGTGTTAATGTATATGCAACATATCTCTTTTATGTTCACTGGGCTGATCTGCATTTGATTCATTTCAAGGTATAATTAAATTCTTAAGGGCATAAGAAAGAACATGCTAAATTCACTGTTGAGTAAGAGTGACATTGGACTAACAGATTATTTGTACATTTACCCAAACTTGTCTTGAGAGTCAAAGAAGTAGAAAAAAAATCATCTGCAATTTAGCAGGTTATCATAAATGAGGCACTCCCTAGAGTGAATTCCTGATAATTCTAAAAAAAAATAAGGAAATTCCAAAACTGAAAAACAGTGGTGTGAAATCAGGACCATAAAGGACCCTGTTATAGGGGCATGGGAGTTTGAGACCAAAGAAAGAAAAAGTAAGCAAGTATTCTTTGGGCGGGGCATACCTAGTGGTGCTCAGGGTTTACTCACGGCTCTGTGCTCAGGGTTCATACCTGGCATTGTCCAGGATCTAAATGGGGTCTGCAGCATGCCTTATGCCCTGTAACTATCTCTCCACCCAAAGCAGATAATAGTACAGAAGGGTGTTTTTGCCACACACCTGACAGTGTTCGGGCCTTATTCCTGGTTCTGTGCTCAGGGATCACTCCTGGTGGGCCCAGGGGACCACACTGGATGCCAGGGACCAAATCTGGGCCAGAACTTAAACGCTGTATTATCTCACAGGCCTCCAATAGTAAAAAAAAGATTTGTAAAATAGGTTGCTTTCCAAATACAATGCTCATTAAGTTAGGAAAATTTTGATTAGTTGAGTTGGTCAAGATTTTAAGTTTTACTATATACAGATACCCAGAAGTAAGAGCTTACTCTACAAATCCAGTAATATCTCTTACACCTGTACAACTGGGGTACCTAAACTACATGAAGACGTTTAACTGCTAGCACTACACATTAAAAAGCAAAATCTCACTTTGGAAGAGAAAAATAAGTCTACGAAAGTATTGTACTAAACACAAATGGAGAACTGTGCAGAAAGAGGAAGCACTGTGAAATGTATGACTAAGTGTGTTTTGTGTAAGACTGGAGGACATTTTCAGAACTTTTTAGTTTGGAGCTATATGTAAAAGTGAAGATAAGGGTATTTTCATTCAGTAAACTTCGTCTAGTTTATACTGGTTATTTTCAACCTTACTCTCTTAACACACAGTCTGAGATTGGTTTGATTTTCATTATTCCTTTAGGGAACCTGGGAAATGAGGAAAAGCAAAAGTGTGCGTTAAAAGAGTCTACTGAGGAAACTGAGCAGCGGAATGTATCAGGGGTCACCGAGGAGATGACTAGCAGTCAAAAGAAAAAAGTCACAGAAAGGACCTAAACCGCAAAAGAGATCACGATCTGTCCCATCTGTAACTCAACGACCGGACAAAAACTCAAGCTCTTGCTGAAATAAGCAGATTTGTAAGATTTCGGACCATTCTGGGCTTTCTTCTCTCTCCTGAGTTTATCCTGAGATTAGAGGTCACTTCAAGTCAGAGGGAGGACTTAGGGAGCCCGCCAGGGATCCGTCTCCGTGGACAATGAGTCTAAGGCCCCTCCAAAGGGCTCCTGGGCAGTAGCAGTCCATGGAGCCCCCTCTAGTGCCTATTTCACGGCTCCCCCAAAGTCTTTCTTCCTGACTTGAACTTTTATAGCGAGAGACAGACAAGAAGTGGGGAAGGGAGGAGGGACAGGAAGGCGGATTGGGGTCGCCCCCTCCCGCTTCATGTCCACCTGGGCCGCAAGGGACTCGGGGCGCGGGCAGGCTGAGATCAGTGGCCAGGCGCTGTAGTTACCTTCTCGCGCTGATCCCAGCTGTACTGCTTTGGCCGCTCGTTCTCTCTTTCGGGAGGCGGGACCCTCTCATTCTTCTGCCTCTTGGAAAAGAAGCAGCCCATGGTACTGGCCCACAGCGCTCGCCGGCCACCGTTTCTGGCCCACGCGCCTGCGCAGTCACTTCTCTGCGACTGCAACTGGGCGCCGCGGCCCCCACCAGCTCTCCGGAACAGCCAAAACCCTGCAATCCCGGTTCGCCAGTCCGCCAGGCCCAGACACTCTTTCCCTTTTCCTCTCAGTCACCCTGACTACGCATGGCAGCCAATGACCGCTTCGGCGCCCGATGAGCCAATCAAAGCCCCAGGATCAACCCCGCGAGGCCTATGAAAAGGGGTTGATTTACGGACGGAACCAATCCGCGTCCTGCTCCTGCGTCAGTCACCGGCAAGCTCGTCGTGCCCGCACCGCGGATCAGCCCCCGGCGGCTCAGGCTGGCCGCGCCCTAGCCGGGACTTGGTAGAGTTTCCTAGCTGGTGGGAGAGGTGGGAGAGCTCAGCGTCCGAGTACTTTTGCCTTTGACGCTCAGCGACTAAGTTCTAAACCTGGAACGGTGGCTCTGCAATCGAATCATAGGCTTCAGTTTTATGATGTAAACGTTATGGCAACTATAATTCCTGCTGACACGGGAAGAGCCTTAAAATTCGGATGTGTCACTCCCCATCTTTGGGTCCTCACCCAACTTTGAGGTCCAACATCCTCTGGCCTCTAAGTGTCAAAAAATTTCCTCCACCCTCCTTGTCCTCTCTGCCCTTTCTTACTATTTCCAACGTCCACACAGCATTCTAAAAATGCACAATTATATGGCAGAGTAGTTACTCATGTGCCGCCTCTTCATTGGAACTGTACATTTTTGAGCCCCAAAGACCCATGTTTTATTACTATTATTATTTTGAATCACCGTGAGATACAGTTACAGAATTGTTCATGATGTCATATAATGTTCCATCACCTGTCCCTTCACCTGTCCCACCACCAATGCCCCCAGTTTCCCTCCCGCCTCTCCTCCTCCTCCTCCTCCTCCTCCTCCTCCTCTTCTTCTTTTTTCCCCCAACAAATGAGTCCAATAATTCTATGTCTGTCTGTCCCTCTCTTTCTGACTCATTTCGATCAGCATGATACTCTCCAGTCCCAATGACCTATCTTAAGAGTTATGCACGTTTCCATCCCTGGGCCTGGCATAACCTCATAATATGTACTCCATAAAACATTAGCTCAGTGAATGCGTGAGTAAATGCTTGCAAACTGCAGAAGAAAACATCAATGATTTTCTCCACAATTCTTCCTAAACAAAATAACCCAGCAAAGGTATGTGAGTGGAGTGAGGGAGGACGGATTATGATAAGGGTGTTCCATGGAGATTACTTGGGGACATAAGCATTGTCATGCAAACACACAGATCTGCTCTAAGCAAATGCACAGGGTTTGATGATATTAAAAATAACGATTCAAAGAAAAAAAACAAAAACATATTATTCACACTTGTTATACCTGAGACAGACTTTACTATACCTATCTTACATATGCAATAGAAAAGATAAGTTACTCTCATTCTCTGATTCCACTATTTTGACATTTTGGGAGGACATAAAAATGCCTGTTTTGTTCAGGTTCAAATTTGACTATCTTTATAATTCCCCACATTTATTTACATCTACTGTATGTATCTTTGATATAATTGAGCATTCAAAATGTTCCCCCTTTCTTTTCCTGTCCTTTACCACACAATCAGGCAGAAAAAAATGCATGTGCTTAACTATAGAAATGACCATGAACTTAATAAGCTTCAGATCGTAGGAAATAATCTTTACCCAGTGAACACATACTTTTGTACAAAGTGGGAGTAAAGGTTTCTGTGAGGAGAGTTTGAACAAGACCCTGAGAGAATAAAAATCCAAGACCCTGAGAAGTATTTTATAGTTGAAGAATGTTAAAATTGTGACCACATAGAGCACAGTAGAAGAAACACAGGTCCACAGAAGTGAAATGACTAATTTGTGGTTACAATGAGGGTGGTTGAGCAGGAAGTAGAAAAACACAGAGGAAGGGCTTTCCAGTGCTCCTGCCTACCCAAAATGTATCCCTCTCTGATTCATCTAAAATAGAGAAGTAAAGAGTTAGGCTTCCTGAGACTTAAGAAGTTTTGCCCCACAGAGACAGTTCTTTTAATAAGGTAAAAGGTAAAGGTAAAGGCCCTCCCGTTGATCGTCGATTTGCTCGAGCGGGCCCAGTAACGTCTCCATTGGAGACTTTGTTGTTACTGTGTCTGGCATATCGAATACTCTCGGTAGCTTGCCGGGCTCTCCGAGAGGGGTGGAGGAATCGAACTCGGGTCGGCCATGTTGGCCGCTTGTAAGGCGAACGCCCTACCCGCTGTGCTATCGCTCCAGCCAGAAAAATAATTTTTTATGTTGGAGTACTGCTATTTATTCAGCCACTGATTAGCTGATTGAATTGGGCATGAATTCCACCTCATTTTTTTCATTTTTTATAATTTTATTTATTGAATCACTGTGAGAGCAGTTACAAAGCTTTTGGGTCTAAGTCTCGGTCATACAATGAAACACCCGTACCTTTACCAGTGCCCATTCTCCACACCCAACAACTCCAGTATACCCCCATCCCACACCCTCCCCCTACCTGTGGGGCAGATGATTTCCACATTACTCTCTCTCTACTTTGATCACATTCAGTATTTTGACACCAGACCCACCATTATTATTTGGGATTTTACCCCAACACTCAGATCTGCTGACAAGGCAACCGTAGACAATTTGTTTTCTATTGCTGGTTATGAATAACATGATGTCACGTGACTGCAGTAGTGGCCACGCGATTTTGAAATTCTGAAATTCTAACACTTAAATCTTGAGGGATTTCTGCCAAAACCTGCTGGGTTCCGAGATTTGCTCTTGAGTCATGAGGGATCATGGCCGTTAAGCAGCTTGATCAGGAGTCAGAAAGGCCGTTAGTGAGCGGTGACTCAGGGTCTCAGTGGGACGAGGAGGAAAGGGCCAGCTCCACCCACATCCCACGAGGCCCTGCGTGTCTCGTCACTGAGGGCCCAAACCTGACTGTCCAGTGGCCTCTGGAGGATGGCGGCCACCAAGCCGCCTAGGGGAAGCAGGCGGAGGGACAACACCCTTTCCCCCCTGGGGTGGCCCAGCGACAGTAACCTACTGTGGGGTCTGGACGCATTTCTGCCAAAAGCCACTGGGTTTCGAGATTTGTTTCTGAACCTCTTAGATCATGGCCGTTAAGCAGCTTGATCAGGAGCCAGAGAGGTTGTTCGTGGGCGATGACTTGGGGTCTCGTTGGGGTGGGGACGAAAGGACCAGCTCCACCCCCATCCCATGAGGCCCAACATGTCTCGTCACTGCAGGCCCTAACCTGACTGTCCAATGGTCTCTGGAGGATGGTGACCACCGACCCACCAAGGGGGAGCAGGCGGAAGTACAGCACCCTTTCCGCCCTGGGGTTGCCTGGCAACTGTAACCTACTGCAGGGTCCGGACACATTTCTGCCAAAAGCCACTGGGTTTTGAGATTTGTTTCTGAGTCTCTGGGATCATGGCTGTTAAGCAGCTTGATCAGGAGCCAGAGAGGTCGATCGTGGGTAATGACTTGGGGTCTCCCTGGGGTGGGGAAGACAGGACCAGCTCCACCCCCATCCCGTGAAGCCCAAAATGTCTCTCCACTGCGGGCCCAAACCTCACTGTCCAATGGCCTTTGGAGGATGACGGCCTCTGAGCCCCCAGGGGAAGCAGGCGGCAGGACAGCACCCTTTCCCCCCTGGGGTGGCCCGGCGACAATAACCTTCTGCGTGGCCTACACACATTTCTGCCAAAAGCTGCCGGGTTTCAAGATTTGTTTCTGAGTCTCTGGGATCATGGCCATTAAGCAGCTTGATCAGGAGCCAGAGAGGCCGTTCATGGGCGATGACTTGGGGTCTCATTCGGGTGGGGAGGACAGGACCAGCTCCACCCCATCCCGTGATGCCCAACAAATCTCGTCACTGTTGGCCCAAGTCTGACTGTCCAATGGCCTCTGGAGGATGACAGCCACTGAGCCGCCAAGGAGGAGCAGGTGGAGTGACAACACCTTTTCCCCCCTGGGGTGGCCTGGCAACAGTAACCTACTGTGGGGTCCGGACGCATTTCTGCCAAAGGCCGCTGGGTTTTGAGATTTGTTTCTGAGTCTCTGGGATCATGGCCATTATGCAGCTTGATCTGGAGCCAGAGAGGTCGTTCGCAATGACTTGGGGTCTCATTGGGGTGGGGAGGACAGGACCGGCTCCACCCCCATCCCGTGAGACCCTGCATGTCTCGTCACCGGGGACCCAAACCTGACTGTCCAGTGGCCTCTGGAGGATGGTGGCCACCGGGCCGCTAGGGGGAACAGGCCAAGTCACGAAACCTATTGCCACCTGGGCTGGCCCAGCACCGGTAACCTACTGCAGGGACCGGATGCATTTCTGCCAAACGCCCCTGGGTTTTGAGATTTGTTTCTGAGTCTCTGTGGTCATGGCCATTAAGTAGTTCAATCAGGAACCAGAGAGGCCATGCCTCCAATTATATAGCTGAGCCGGAGTTGGTTTGTGGGTGTGTTTCCCACATACCTAACTTTTGGCTGTTTACTTTCTTGGTAAACTTTGCCCCAAGTTTTTGGGGTCTGGCCAAAGGCACAGCAGCAATATTGGGGTATCTGGAAGTCTGAAGGCGCCATCAGGCTGCTGATGCACTCGCCTCACAGGTACAGATTGACCTGCTGGCGGCACCATACTCCCAAGCAAAACTAATTTTAAAGAAATGATCCTTTAAAAATTATCTCATTATTAAATGATTTAATAATGAGAAATCACAACTTAACACAAAATCCATACCTGACTTTTTCTGAGAACTTTTCACAAAGTTTCCTTCCCATCACATCATAACCCCTGGGGAAAACAGAGAAAAACAAAATGAAAATGAAAAAAATCTGAGCACGCAGTAGAGCTAAAGCTCTTTCTTTCTCTTTTCACCTCCATTTTGTTCCTCCTCCACCAATAGATTCTTGTCAGTTTTTGTCTCCTTATTTTTTTTTTGGCTGGAGTGATATCACAGTCGGTAGGGCATTTGCCTTGCATGGGGCCAACCAGGGTTTGATTCCTCCGCCCCTCTCGGAGA